ATTTGAACAAGCCTCTGTGGCTGGCAGAGCGGTCAGGAAGATGTGCAGGCTAGTTTTGGGGGAATATTGGAAATGTCACCAAGGGGACACCTCTGAGATCTTGTGATTGCTGAGGCCTTTCTCTCCCTACCTCTCTTCCTGGGAGGAACAGGGAGTGCTGGCTCCTCTAGTCGCTGTGGTTTGTTTATGGCTAACTGGGGCAGACTTGAGATGAATTTAGTTCCCAACATTATGGGGGTGCCTCAGGTCACTCATGGTGAGGGTCTCTGGCTCTTCTGGGAAAGATTAGCACAGAGGAATAACCATCTATGGTTATTTCCCTGGGCCAAGTATGCATGATGGACTCAGGTTGTTGGGAAAGACTGATGATGGGGTTAACACTAATGAAAGAAAACAAAACTGTAGAGAGAAGAGGCTTACATGAACACCCCACTGAGCCCCTATGCTTCAGGGCAATGTGACTGCTGGTAAGGGCTGCCCCTACAGCGAGGCTAGAGAGGTTTCTTCACTGACACGTAAAATTTGGGCATGAGACGCAAGGGTCCTGAGACACATCCGTATGGGATGTCCTGTGAAAGAGGAAGAAGCATGGGACTCATCGGGATGGTAGGGGTGGACCCTACACCCTACAGAGCTGTAGGACGGCTTGATCTGGGGACTGCTGTGAGCTTGTATGCAGCCCAAACCTCTGTTTTTTGTAGCATGTAGAAGTGGCCTGAGTGACGGCCTGTTCCCATCCAAGGACACTGCACAGGTCCAGCAGGGAGCACCCGCAGGTGCACATGTGCTCACTGCCGCTGACACCAGCACATCCTCTCTGCTTTTCATGCTGGCAGCCCCACAGTCTTGCTTGGACACATGTACAAAGCAGAAGTAGTTGCCGTGGTGAATGGCAGTCAGTTTTTTGTCTGGGACCTGGCAGAGCAGCACACGGGCCATGCAAAGTATGAGAGGCTCACACAAGCGCATTAGGGGATAAACTCATTAGCCAAGATTGGGAACGTGCTGAATGGGCCCAGCTGCTGGCCCCCTCCCTCTCTCTTCCCATGCTGGTGTGAGAAACACTCTGTAGCCAATAACACAGGCTCAGGTGAGGATCTCAGTGAAGTAGCATTTTTATTCGCGATTGCAATGGCAGGCGTCCCACAAGCAGGAGTGCGCCTACTAGTCACATAGTACAGTTTATATACTTTCTTTCTCGATGACCGGGACCCTCCCCTGTTTCCCCATTGACTGGGTAGTCCAGGTTCACAATCTATTCGATGCTTCACAGATAATACATGGCTTTCAGTTGCCAGCCTGTTATTTTTCAAATTTCTTTTGACATTTTTTACTCTTTGAGGTGGTAATGCTTCTTCCCTTACCTGGCTTGACTTGATACCATGAATTTCACCTAATTTTCCTAAGGAGTCTGGTTGTCTGCATTTTACAAGGTTGTCTGTTAAGCTTTGTTATCATTGCAAGCATATCTCAATACCACATTCCTTCCCTCTAAACAATGTAACATCTCTAGAAAAATACTCTTTCTTACATGGTCACATACATCCAGTAAACGCTTTTCTGTTGAATATCAATTTAGTACTTGTCTTTCTCCCCCTTCCCCCCCCCCCCCCCCCCCCCATTCCCCATTCTTGGGAATGCCCCCTTGGCATTCCCAAGAAGCAGCATGTCTGGTACTTCCTGTGCTTATGTTAACAATTCTGGTACAAAAACAAATTTTTTGTTCCCTCACTGGGCATGCAAGGGATGCAGGGATGCTGTTAAAACACTCTGCTGAGCTCCCTGGCAGGGCTGGGACGTGAAAGGTAAACACAGCACTTTGTTAGAAGAACTTCTCTGAGAAAAAATGCATGTTAAACTGACTCATTTTTTATAAGCTGAATGTGTGATCATGTAGATTTTTGAAATGGCAGGTGTGACAAATGATTCCCCTGACGGCCCAAGGCATGGTTTTTTGGGAGGGAGAGAGGGTGCTGATCTGGAGGTGGGGCTGGAGGTGGTGTCCAGGCGGTGCTGAGCCCTGGCTGGCCTCAGGGTGCCGCTTTGGGCCACCTGCCCTGGAGCAGCTGGGCCAGCAGCCACTGAGGAAGGTGGTCCTCGCCCTCGGCAGAGACTGTTCCTGGTGGTCTGATGGCCACCTTGTGGGCAGCTCACAAAGCACTGCATCTCCTGCCAGCCAGCTCCGGGGACAGGCGTCATGTCACCCCTCCCGGTGTCCTGCAGAGATGCAGAAAAGGGGGCTGAAATAAAATAAAATATAAAATTAAGTGTTTCCTAACACACCTGGTTTAAGCTTTGCATAAACTAAACCAGACAAGGCAGTTTCAGGCCAGTTACACACTACAGAGTTTTGCTGACAGAGGAGGGATGTGATTTTTTTATAATGATACATTTATATTATCATAAAGCCTGGTGAATATACAGTTACAGAGCTATAGAAGTGCTTCTGCTGATACAGCTTATTTCAAACAGGGGAAACTGTATAACGTACAATATAACAGACACTTCCTCTGTGCTGGAAGTATTTACTAGACACAAACTCCCTTGTCAAAGCCCTTTGCCAGTGGTGTTCCCAGCTCACTCCCACCCATCTGCTCCCATCTTCCAGGACAGCTGTTCTCACTTTGCAGGTGGGTTTTCCTCGTGTATGTGGACAACCCTTGGAGTTTGGACTCAGCTTTCTCCAAGGCTTTGTCTTTCCCTAGCCTAAAAGACACCCAACAGCACACATTCAGCTTCAGTTGACACTTTATACCTCACCTCTGAGAGTCTCTTTTGCACATCAGTTTAGCCATCAAGTAAAGTGATTTCTGCTGGCACCTACAAAGTGTTCCATGAAAACAGGAGTTAGATCATGCAGAAGAGATGTTTCTAAAGCTGAATTCCCACCTGGCTCTTCATCATTTGGTTACTTGACTGAGAAATGTCATTGGTCCACCACAGGTGAAGGAAAGCCAAGGAGGTCCCTCAGGCCCACAGGGATGTGACCTGTAGGGAGCATTTTAACTACTGAGTTCATTCTTTGCCATTATTGGATTGAAATTACTCAAATCCTTTCTAAAAATACTGGGCAAAGCACTGACAAGTACGTTTTGAGGAAAAATATCCTGTGATTATACAGGTTCCCCTGATACAGTTCCTTGGGGTTCACAATCCATTCACTGAGCCTAATTGCCAATGCCATTTTAACTCCTGGATGGAGCCAGGAACAAAAACCACCCTGAAAATGAACCTTTGCGATGTCCAAAGCAGCTTCTCTTGAGGTGGGGACAACACACACAAGACTAGTTAGGGCTTTGTGCATTATCATTAAAGCCTCAACTTTGTGTTGCCAGCAAAGACCTCAAAGAGTCCCTTTGCCTAATCAATGCCAATATAAAGTGGGCATATTTCTTGCTTTTAACATGTCTATCAGAAGGTTATTCCTGTTTTTTCTCTTCTATCAGAAAAGCACACGTACCCTCCTCAAACTATTTTTCCTACCATTTCAGCAGCCTAACTGAAAGCAACATAACTCCTTGTTTTCTGTGGGCAGTGCACTCTTGGTTCATGTGGATAACTCCACTGCAGGACTGAAAGCTCCTAATATCCTCAGTAGATATCAACTGCGTGAAAAATTATCCTCGTCCAAGGCTAGAGTAATTTGCCAATTTGCAGGTGCATCTCGGAAAGGGGAATTTTGATCAAACACTGGTTGAAGCAGAACAGATTGTCTACACTAATGATTTCTCAGTGAACATAAGTGACATAAATCACCCAGTTAGTCAGCCAAAACATATTTGTTGCAAAACAATGTTTTGTTCATCTTTTGATTAATATGTGCATTAAAAATAAATAAAAAATTCAAAGTGTTTATTTACATTTATTTATTCAAATTGGTTACATCTGCTCTGTAAACTGCTCTAAAAAAAATCATGATTCACTCATTTACATAGTGTTTAATGAATGATAAATAAGACATTAATGAATCGTGTGAAAATGACCTGTTTGCATACAAGATGTAAACTATGTAAATTTCTCTCTTTTTTTTTTTTTTTTTCTTTTATGGTGTAATGGTAGTAGTCTCTAAATATAAACCTGATTTATAGGCATCCCTCTGAGCCCCCTGAGATCTTTCTAACAACTCAGTAGCCCTTGGTTTGGTCTGTTTTCACAAACATTTTCTCAAGGTGTTTTGTTCTGGACTGAAGCTCTCCATACTTGGTATAAGTCCAAGTATAAATAATCTTCATCTTTCAAAATACAATTATCTGTCAGCAGACCCCATCCTGCTTTAACATGAAACAGCATCTTCTTGAGCAAACTCAGATATTAGCATTCGTATAAGTTAACTTTGTTTCAAGAGACAATATATGTTTTCAAAACTTTGGGTTTATTTCAAATTAACTTTATATATATATGTATAAATATAAATATAAATATAAATGCATCCAAACTTGTAGGTACGTGTCTGTGAGTGGGTATGAATGACAAATCTCAATTTACTGGCTGTGGCTTCAGTTATATCCTGATTCAAAACAGCTTATGTTAAACATTTATTTTTCCTGTGACTTATTTAGTATTGCGAGGGCTGCTTACTAATTTATGTTGTTTTTCAGTTGGACTTTATTTATGTATGCTATCTTTATTCACATTTCACTTAGATGGCAGTCTGAGCAATGTTGTCATTTCAGTTACTGCAAGCTGACTGCAAAAATTGATCAGAAAAAACTGATTTGGAAGACTTTGGTGCCTAGATTTTGAGACGCAATTAAAACATTTTAGATATTTCTGGCATTTGGGAGGTTTTTTTTCTTCTTCGAAATTGTCAAATTATTTTCAAGTACTCACTGAAATTCAGATGTTATTAAGGTGTTTTGAGCAAGGCACCTGAAATGACTATCAGCTTCTGAAATATGTCACCTCAACGAAATCACTGTTTCTTCTGCATGTGATACTGAGCTATCTTGGCTTTCACATCCCTCCAGAAATATGGTAAGCACCTCCTTATTTTGTTCCAGAAGACAGAAAACTCTTTGTGGGCATGCTCAATAAGCAGCAGTCAGAAGATGACGTGCGCAGGCTATTCGAGGCATTTGGCAACATCGAGGAGTGCACAATTCTTCGGGGACCTGATGGCAACAGCAAAGGTAAGACAATGGCTTATGGCATACCATGGCTTTAGCTTCGAGCTAGACCCAGTCTTGGTGTATATATAATTTCCTGTCACAACAAAGTCACTAGGTGGCTGCCAGGTTGGCATCTCTTATGTTAGGAAGGGTCACATTTGCCAAAGGGAGGTCATTTCTTTGCTGATTGCTGTCTGCTTGTTCATGAGAACAGAGTTGATTGCACCTAAAAACATCTTCCTCCACAACAAGCTGTGTCTGACCACATGCAAACTGCTGCCTATTGCTGTTTCTTTACAGGACAGCCTCCACTCTGAATGCAAAACCTTTATATTTGCTCAAGATCTGCTCTCCTCACCAGCCTTAGGAAAGTTGTGAGTTTCTTCCCCTATTGAACAGGCTCATTCTTTCCTTAAACAAAGCTGTATTTTCTGTTTTACATCCTTACTCACCAGCTCCGCCATTGTCTCTGCTTATTTATCACCCACCAGCCCCAGGTCCTCCTCTTCTTCAGTTGGTTCTTGCACACCAACCAGTGACCACTATTTCAAGCATACAGGATCTGATGTAAATAGTACACTCAGTAGGTATTTGCTGCTTGAAACATCTCAATGCTTAATTGCAAAACTAGGTGTCTTACCTCCTTCTGCCAGTTTTTGGCATGTCTCGTTACCTGGATAGCACAAGGAAACCTTTTCTAGAGTCCAGGCTTCTCTGTTAAACATAAGGGTCTTTTTTTTTTTCCCCTGTCACTTTCTAGACAAAGTAACTTCAATTTGAATAGGAAGCCCTCTTCTCTTGACAGTATAATGTGTCCATTAAATATTGATCTGCATATAATACATCATAAACTGTGCTAGAATGTGCAGTACCAGGGAAGAGACTGGTCTTGCTGATGCAGTTCATATCTCACTGGATATTTTGACACGTGACAACATCAACCAGCATATTTTTGCAACAGGGAGGTGAAAAATCCAAATCACAGTTATACACTGAAAAAAAGATACTGCTATTCTGTAAAATCACTGTTAGCCAAAAAAGATTTCACTCTGGCATTATAGGGCAGTATTTTGATGTATGTCAGGAAAGCCCAGCCTTCCTGATACAAATAGCTGAAAATAAACTGTGGGTAACTTCTTTTGATTTTATGGCTACTTTAGTTTCATGACACCCAAAGGTTTGATTCACCAAGAAGAGTTTCAACTATCATAAATGGCAGGCAGTTTGGCACTCCCATCACTGAACAAATCAATAAATTGGGGAAAAGCAAAAAAAAGTCTGTCTGCCTCCACTTGGAATTGTACAGAACAAAATCTATGACAGAGGAGCTAAACAGAGTAATAATGAAGGCAATAATGTCTGAGATCTGTAAGAAACAGATTCCAAAGGAGATCCAACCCCCAAACTTGTATTCATTCTTGCTCTCTCTCTTTTTTTTTTTTCTTAAACAATTTCATTATAAGTCTGAATCTGAGTGGCAGCTCCATATTGCTAACCAGTTTAATTATTAGTGCTAGCAGGCTTCAGTCTTAGGCTTGCATTTCACTGAGATGTTCAGGATCAATACTGAACCTTGACAGAGTTAATATTACCAGCTTCCATTTGCAGGTGCTATTTACTGAGAATGTGAAGCTCCCAATTTCCACACACACAGATATATACACACACACACAGAGCATTCAATCCAAACTTAAGGGTAGTGCTCTTATCGTAAGACACAGTCAGGTGAGCCACAACTCCCACAAACTCCCAGTCTGTAATGTTTTCCATCTGCTAGAAATCAACATGACACATACTGCTTATGAGATACTTATTTTGGGTAAAACCCATAAGGCATAAATTCCACCTAAATTGAGTTTTAGGAAGATTAACTAAGTGCATAGACTTCAGTCCTAGCAAAGCCATTACATGAAGCCTCACCAGGTGTCCCTGTGATGAGCAAGCTTTGAAGACACCTCAATGAAAGCAATGTTTGGAGGAGGTAGGTCCCAGCTTCCCAGTGAATAACACGACAGGCCAGTCATAGTCAGAAAGGCATCTGAGACTTTCCTGAAGCCCTGGGAGGATGTCCAGAGCCATGTCCTCCATGCAAGCTCCATCTCCTGCACGAGTCACCCAGAGTCAAGCATAACAGTTACTAGAGCATGCAACCAGGTGGAAGGAGAGCTGGGACCAGGACATTTTTCTGCCTTAAGGGAAGTGCAGAGTCTGTCTGTCCTGGGAGAGATAGGTGTCGTGGTTCCACTCAAGTGGGCAGCCGAGCTCCACCACAGCCGCTCTCTCACTCCCCCTCCTCAAAGAGGAATGGGGAGAAAAAACAATGAAAAGGGCTCAGAGGTTGAGATAAGGACAAGAAGATCACACAGTAATTATTGTAATGGGCAAAACAGACTCGGCATAGGGAGATAGTAAGATGTATTGCTCATTACTAACAAGCTAGAGAAGTGAGAAACAAAGGAAAGAAACCAAAAGCACCTTCCCCCCCATCCACCCTCTTCCACCTCCTCCCCCCGAGCGGCGCAGGGGAATGGGGGTTATGGTCAGTCTACAGCACTTCTTCTCTGCCGCTCCTTCTCGGTCACTCTCGTCCCCTGTGCTGTGGGGTCCCTCCCACGGGATACAGTCCTTGATGAACTGATCCGGCGTGGGCTTCCCACAGGCAGCAGCTCTTCCAGAACTGCTCCAGATATGGGTCCGTACCACAGGGTCCATCCCTCAGGAGAAAACTGCTCCAACCTTGATCTCCCACAGGCAGCAGCTCCTGCCAGGTCACCTGCTCCTGCGTGGGCTCCTCTCCATGGGCTACAGGTCCAGCCTGGAATCTGCTCCGGCAGGGGTCTTCCACAGGCGGCAGCCTCCGTCGGTGCAGGGCCACCTGCTCCACCGTGGTCTCCTCCACGGGCTGCAGCATGGAACCCTGCTCCACCGTGGTACTCCATGGGCTGCAGGGGGACAGCCTGCTTCACAATGGTCCTCACCACAGGCCGCAGGGGACTTCTGCTCCGGCGCCTGGAGCACCTCTCCCCCTCCTTCTACACTGACCTTGGTGCCGTTCCTCACTCCCTTGACTCTCCCAGCTGCTGTGTGGCGCAGCGTTTTTTTTCCCTGTCTTAAATATGCTCTCACAGAGGCGCAAAACAACATCGCTTATTGGCTCGGCTCTGGTCAGCAGTGGGGCCCTTACCAAACATGGGGCTGCTTCTAGATCCTTCTCACAGAAACCACCCCTATGGCCCTCTGCTACCAAAACCTTGCCATGTAAACCCACTACAATGGGACATGAATGAGCCTGCCTGTATCTCTCTGGGTAAGGCTCACCTGTGTGCATCCAGGAGCGCAGGAGTACTCAGGTGAGGAAGCCACCATGAAATGGGATCCAGTTTAGTAATCCAGCAGGACCCACAGGATTGCAGCTGCCTGGACAGCCTCTTGGTTCTGTTTAGTTTGTTTTTAATTCTGCAGTTGTCTACTTCAGTAACTCAGAAAGTAAAGATTTCCCACAACACCGGAAGTCCCTCAAGAGGAGTCTATCACCCTCTGCAGTCATAACCTTGGGCTCTGACTCTGCAGTCTCCTCCATTCCTGCAGAAGAGCTGACAAGACAGTCAGAGCAGCCCTTCCAGCTCTGTAATCCTGAAATAAGGAAAGAAAGAAAAAACATACGAGCACATGTATCTCTCTGTTTGGCACAGGTTATATATCTCTCTATGTGTCAAAATCCCTTAAAACTCCAGAGCTGTTCCTGTCACGGGGACACTGTTGTTTTGAAGAGTGGTATGATTCATGTCCTCAGCTCATGAGATCCTGGAGATCACCTCAATTCTGGTGATAAGGGGCAGAAAGAAGATTATGTACACATTTGGTGTTGTGTTCAGAAGCCATCCCACTGAATGCACAAATAAAGGGATCAAAACGTTAGGGTCTCTGCTACTACTGCCTTGCCACCATATACAGGTGAAAGCTGAGTTTTCACCTGTTTTTCTACTTGAAAACATATCAGAAGCAATGGAGGGATCTCATTAGCATCTCAGGTATTAAACAAGATAAATTCCTTCTGTTCCCTTCATTCCCATTTTTATCCAGCTCCGTTCATCCATCAGGTTGCTCAGCACAGGGGTGAATTTCACCTGAATAGAGTGAAACCCTCAACATGACAGCAACATGGAAGCCAAAAATCCTGCTCTAAATACAATGGGTGACTGAAGCTGGAAAGCTTTTGTATATTTGCTAATCAGCATCTTCTTTTTAGAGGCAGAAAGTAGAAAAGAATCTGCAAATAATTAAACACCCTAATTCTGGATTATCTCTGATTAATGAAGAGGAAGGTACAATATCTCAGGAGCCTGGGAATGCTGGACTGCAGTTATGTCATAATTGATCCCTATTGTTTCCAGCTGAAGTTTATCTATATCATTTTCTCACAATTGTCTCCTCTCAGCTCCTTATAAATTATATTCAACTATTAGCAACAGCTGCTATGCTTTCCCTGAAATACAGTCTGAGCATAATGGTAAGGAGGAATGCAAAGTGAGGGACTCCTGACTACAAGCTACTTTCATATGCGTGTGTTCTTTTTAGAAGGGGCTACTATTGTTTCCTTTGATTCTACTTCTGCCAGCCTGTAGCGATGATTATAGAGACTTTTGTTTCTCGTTTTTCTAGTTTGCAAGTGTTTTAGCACTGCAGTTTGCACCATGCACTGTATGGATCTGTGAGGGCATGCTGACCTTCTAAAGATGCTACAAAGGGAATAAAGGACAGCTGTCCCATTGTTAGGGCTGGCATCCCTTGTGCAGTGACCTGTGCCCCTTCAGGGTGTTATAAATGAAGTCTCAACTCGAGCTGAATTTAGTAATATTTATAAAAGGCAAGTAAACAGCGCTGGGTGCGTGGGGAAGTCGACGAGGTAGTCAACTCCACGCCTCAGGACTGCCTCCACCAAGACAGAAAGAAGGGTGATTGTTGTGGGCAACTACCTTCTCAGGGGAACAGAGGGCCCTACTTGTCGGCCTGACCCTACCCGTATGGAAGTCTGCTGCCTCCCTGGGGCAAGGGTCAGGGACATTGCCAGAAAGCTTCCCAACCTGGTTCGCCCCTCTATTATCCTCTTTTAATAGTCCAGGCTGGCAGTGATGACATTACTCGGCACTTTACTCGGCACCCGGCCTGATGGCCGCAGACGGGTCCCTATCTCTAAGGGGAAAACGGATCCTAGGCCGGGAGCTGTCGGGGCTCATTGAGAGGGCATTAAACTAGGTAAGAAGGGGGATGGGGCTGAAACAAGGATTGTTAGAGCTGTGCCGGGGGAACAATGGCAAGGCTGGGAGAGAAGGCAATGGCCCAACTGAAGTGCATCTACACTAATGCATGCAGCATGGGCAACAAACTAGAGGAGCTGGAACCCATCATGCGGCAGGCAGGCTACGACTTGGTTGCCATCACAGAAACATGGTGGGACCACTCTCATGACTGGAGTGCTGCAATGTCTGGCTATAGGCTCTTCAGAAGGAACAGGCAGCACAGAAGAGGGGGTGGTGTGGCTCTCTATATCAGGGAGAATTTTGATGTCGTGGAACTTGAGGCTTGGAATGATAAGGTTGAGTCCCTTTGGGTTAGGATCGACGGGAAGGCCAACAAGGCAAGCATCCTGGTGGGGGTCTGTTATAGACCGCCAAACCAGGATGAGGAGACGGATGAGGAGTTCTACAGGCAGCTGACAGAAGTTGTGAAATCGTCAGTGCTAGTTCTCGTGGGGGACTTCAACTTCCCTGACATATCCTGGAAGCACAACACAGCCCAGAGAAAGCAGTCTAGGAGGTTTCTGGAGAGCGTGGAAGATAGCTTCCTGACGCAGCTGGTTAGTGAGCCTACCAGGGGTGGCGCCCCGCTAGACCTTCTCTTCACAAACAGAGAAGGGCTGCTGGGAGATGTTGTGGTTGGAAACTGTCTTGGGCAGAGTGACCATGAAATGGTAGAGTTCTCCATTTTTGGAGAAACCAGGAAGGGGACCAGTAAAACTGCTGTATTGGAATTTCGGAGGGCTGACTTTGAACTGTTCAGTACAGTGGTTGGCAGAGTTCCTTGGGAGGCGGTTCTGAAGGGCAGAATAGTCCAGGAAGGATGGGTGCTCTTCAAGAAGGAAATATTAATGGCGCAGGAGTGGTCTGTCCCCACATACCCAAAGATGAGCCACCGTGGAAGAAGACCGGCCTGTCTGAACAGAGAATTGTGGCTTGAGCTTAGGAGAAAAAAGAGGGTTTATAATCTTTGGAAAAGTGGGCAGGCCACTCAGGAGGACTATAAGGATGTTGCAAGGCTGTGCAGGGACAAAATTAGAAAGGCCAAAGCTCATCTGGAGCTCAATCTGGCTCCTGCCATTAAAGACAACAGAAAATGTTTTTACAAATACATCAATGCAAAATGGAGGACTAAGGAGAATCTCCATCCTTTACTGGATGTGGGGGGAAACCTAGTTACAAAAGAAGAAGAAAAGGCTGAGGTGCTTAATGCCTTCTTTTCCTTAGTCGTTAGTGGCAAGACCAGTTGTTCTCTGGATGCCCAGTACCCTGAGCTGGTGGAAGGGGATGGGGATCAGAATGTGGCCCTCACTATCCACGAGGAAATGGTTGGCGACCTGCTATAGCACTTGGATGTACGCAAGTCGATGGGGCCGGATGGGATCCATCTGAGGATACTGAGAGAACTGGTGGAGGAGATGGCCAAGCCGCTTACCATTATTTATCAACAGTCCTGGCTATCAGGGTAGGTCACACTCGACTGGCGTCTACCAAATGTGACACCCATCTACAAGAAGGGCCGGAGGACTGACCCGGAGAACTATAGGCCTGTCAGTTTGACCTCAGTACCAGGGAAGCTCATGGAGCAGATTATCTTGAGTGTCATCACACGGCACTTGCAGGGCAAGCAGGTGATCAGGCCCAGTCAGCATGGGTTTATGAAAGGCAGGTCCTGCTTGACAAACCTGATCTCCTTCTATGACAAAGTGACGCACTGGGTGGATGAGGGAAAGGCTGTGGATGTGGTCTATCTTGACTTCAGTAAGGCTTTTGACACTGTTTCCCACAGCATTCTCCTCAAGAAACTGGCTGCTCATGGCTTGGACTGGTATACGCTTTGTTGGGTTAAAAACTGGCTGGATAGCCGGGCCCAAAGCATTGTTGTAAATGGAGTCAATTCCAGTTGGAGGCCAGTCACTAGTGGAATTATTACTCCATATATCACAAGGGGAACAACTGGGTATTTTCAAATTGAGCAAAAGCTCAAAAATCTTTAGTAGTAATAGAAGGGGATAGAAGGCAGAACTTCTCAGATTTCTTCCAGTTTGTTCTAAAAACCACCTTAGCATATGGAAATTATTCTTCTTCTCTCTGAGTCAGTTTGCTTGTAGCTAAGAATTTTATCAATACTTTTCCCCTCTCTAGTGGTGCATGTAATCCTTCGAAGTGTTGATCATTTCTGTACTTTAGCACATTTTCATAAATGCACCTCTGTGACCTAAAACCTTAAGTAGGAGTTCAGGCAGTGTGAAATTCCTCACATGGCAGTGCAGGCCAGAGGAGCACTGCCTGCATTTCTCTGATGTCTGCAGGAAAGCACCCATAGAGGCACTGGCTCTGCAAATTGTGATATAATATTTGCTGTAGAAGACTGATTCAGATTTCAGTGGTAGCAAGATGGCAGTCATCACATGTAGATCTCTCCCATCTCTACTTTTTTATTAGAAGATATTTCATGCTTTGTTTAAAGCTGTTTGGAGCCTGGACAAGCACTGAGCAGTCTGTGTAATGGAACGCTACCAAGCAGTGATACAAGACAGAGACATTATGTGTTTGGAGCAAGCAGAATGCCTCTCTATATCTGGCCTGTGGTTGCTTGTAACAAGCATGTGCAGCTTTCTGTTGACTTTCACACAGCTCCTCACTGTTTCCCATAACACCAGAGGGAGGAGCATTCAGCATTATGTCAAATACAAATAGAAGGAAAATTGTTTCACACAATAAATTATAAAACATATATTCATGAGACGCTATGGAGGTCAAAAGATAAATAGATTCAAAAAGTACTCAGTAAGTTTGGGTCTGACAGTGCCTGCTGCAGACAGTATAGGGTTTTGTGATGCAGCTGTGTTTAATGGCTGGGCTTTGAGAAGGAATAACTGGTTTGCTATACTTTCTCCACTAGCTTCTTTATTGCCAGTTCTGAGAACAGGACACTTAGCTAGATAGACTGTTGTTGGTACCTCTGCAACCTTTCTAATATTCTTTTTCCTCTTCTAGGGTGTGCATTTGTGAAATACTCTTCACACGCGGAGGCCCAAGCAGCTATCAATACCTTGCATGGCAGCCAGACAATGCCAGTGAGTAGCTCTGTAACATGGCACGTGAGGATTTGTCCAGACTTTGCTGTCCTGTGGCCTGATGGAGGAGGAGGGATGATTTATCTATGCTTTGCTACTCGTCTTCTGGGAAGGATGGCTTAAGCATGTGGGACCTTGGGTGTGTTTAACTCATCAGAGGGAAGGCCAGGATGACACTATCAGTTCATCACACCTTCACAGAACTCCAAGGAGTGCTGTGTTCCATCACCAGCAGTTTTGATGCACTGAAAAAAAAGACATGGTTCACAGATGCAAAAAACATTGGGTCAAATTCACCATGAGCTTAAGGACTTAAGTTTCAGAGGGATGAATCATGCACAAACTTGTGTCTAGGGGCTTTTGTTTTCCCTCTCCAAAGAGTCCCTGCTTCTACATGAAGGAAATTTTTGCCAAAACTGAGCAGAAAGCAGCATGCTCACATGATAGCACTAGAAACTAGAGATGCATCACACCATGATGTGCACTCTCACTGCCTTTCTGCTGCTAAAGTGCCTACCTGGGCATAAATGTGGTCCCTTACATCCAGCTTTTGAAAGACAGTCAAACGCTACTGAATCTTCCAGGAAATGTTTGAGGTAATGCTTGGACTAATGTCTAGTAATACGTTTCCAAGCTGATAGTTCAGGGAAGTGGAAAATAAAATGGAAATGTGTTTTCTATGCAAAATTATACTTGTACACCACCATGCAGACCTGGAGGAATATAAGACATTCCATTATCAGCACAGAAAGGCAATCTGGTCCCATATGTTTTGGTTTATTATAATAGTATATTATTATTACTAATTATTCACAGTGTAAATAAGGAAAGGCTAAGAAGCATGCTGAAGACTTGTAAAGGATACAGGGAATCTCAGTATTCAAAATCTCCCTTTCAAAAAGAACCTTTGATCTCAATTCATAAGTTTATCCAAATAATTTTAAAATGGGCTGGGTGGATTGGCTCTAGGTCTGTGCAGGGTTGAAAATGGGAAGTTTGTCACAGGGGAAGAGGTTTCTGGTAGCAGCGTATCATCAAGACTGTGCTTTTAAGAACTCAAGCTCAGACAGGTCAGATTAGAAAATGGTACGTTTACCAGTGAGGTTATTAAAAGGTGGCATCTAATGACTTGCTGAGCCTGCAGCGGAGCGGGGGATCAGGACAGGCAGGGCTTTTTTTCCGGCATCGAGCCCACTTGAGGGAGCTGCCAGGACCCAGCAGCCCTTGCGAGGGAGGCTGATGAGGCGTAGGCGGAGCCAGCAGTGCCCCCTCCATGGCTGTTCAAAAGCTGCCCCTAGGGAGAGCAAGCGACCAGGGTGGGCAAACAGGGCGTGGCACATCAGAAAGGAGTGGCGCGGCAGTTCGAGCAGGGAGGGCAGAGCATTCCCCCCACCCACCCATATGAACACCTCCTCTAACGGCGGTCTACCACTAGCTCAGCTGCAATGGTGTACACAAGGCACAGTGCTTTCTCTAGGAAGTCTGTACACACCCAGACTGACTGCCTGCGCAAAAACACAGCAGTTTGGGTCTCTGGATGCAGGGAGTGTCTGCCTTTTGCTGCCATCTGTGGGAGGCAGAGAGACTGTGTGTGTGAGGTGTGAGCAGGTGAATGACCTGGTCCACCTGGTGGCAGAACTCAAGGAGGAGGTGGAGAAGTTGAAGGCTATCAGGGAGTGCGAGTGGGAGATAGACTGGTGGAGAAACTCCCTGCAGGGTCTGAAGGACAGGTACTGGGGTGAGACACCCCAAATGGGGGTGGACCCCCTCCCCTGTCGCTGTCGCTGAAGGCTATCAAATGGGACTTTAGGGGACTGGGATGGTTAGTGGATGGAGCAGGAGTAAAGGTGTACTATAAGGATGTTGCGAGGCTGTGCAGGGACAAAATTAGAAAGGCCAAAGCTCATCTGGAGCTCAATCTGGCTACTGCAATTAAAGACAACAAAAAATGTTTTTACAAATACATCAATGCAAAATGGAGGACTAAGGAGAATCTCCATCCTTTACTGGATGTGGGGGGAAACCTAGTTACAAAAGAAGAAGAAAAGGCTGAGGTGCTTAATGCCTTCTTTTCCTTAGTCGTTAGTGGCAAGACCAGTTGTTCTCTGGATGCCCAGTACCCTGAGCTGGTGGAAGGGGATGGGGAGCAGAATGTGGCCCTTACTATCCACGAGGAAATGGTTGGCGACCTGCTATAGCACTTGGATGTACGCAAGTCGATGGGGCCAGATGGGATCCATCTGAGGATACTGAGAGAACTGGCGGAGGAGATGGCCAAGCCGCTCACCATTATTTATCAACAGTCCTGGCTATCGGGGGAGGTCCCAGTCGACTGGTGTGGTGGTTCTGCTCGAGTGGGCAGCCAAGCTCCACCACAGCCGCTCTCTCACTCCCCCTCCTCAAAGAGGAAAAAGGGAGAAAATACGATGAAAAGGGCTCAAGGGTTGAGATAAGGACAAGGAGATCACGCAGTAATTATTGTGACGGGCAAAACAGACTTGGCATAGGGAGACAGTAAGATTTATTGCTTATTACTTGTTGCAGGAAGAATGGCCGAAAACACAACAGACACTAGTATGTTCAGATCATGCTCTCACTTTATTACTCGAATAGCCTGACTTTTATAGCAAACTTAACAGGGGCGGATAGTGTCTCACAGAAGATTATTGTTCAAAAGCACTCAGACAAACAGCTGCAAGAAAACAACCCCACCTGCAAGAAAACAACCCCCTTGTGATTAGCAGTCAAATAGATCCTGTCCTTGAAGCCAGCTGCTGGCAAAAATATTTTTCTGAGTTCCTCAATTGGGCGATGTGGGAACACTGTCATGGGAACTTCTCATAGTTGCCCTGGTAGCTTGGTTTGCTCAGCTGCAGCAAGTCATGGCCTCCTTGCTGTTTCAAAAATCCCTCAACAATTATGAACAAGCTAGAGAAGTAAGAAACAAAGGAAAGAAACCAAAAGCACCTTCCCCCCCATCCACCATCTTCCACCTCCTCCCCCTGAGCGGCGCAGGGGAATGGGGGTTATGGTCAGTCTATAGCGCTTCTTCTCTGCCACTCCTTCTCGGTTACTCTCGTCCCCTGTGCTGTGGGGTCCCTCCCACGGGATGCAGTCCTTGATGAACTGATCCGGCGTGGGCTTCCCACAGGCAGCAGCTCTTCCAGAACTGCTCCAGATATGGGTCCGTACCACGGGGTCCATCCCTCAGGAGAAAACTGCTCCAACCTTGATCTCCCACAGGCAGCAGCTCCTGCCAGGTCACCTGTTCCACCGTGGTCTCCTCCACGGGCTGCAGCATGGAACCCTGCTCCACCGTGGTACTCCATGGGCTGCAGGGGGACAGCCTGCTTCACCATGGTCCTCACCACAGGCTACAGGGGACTTCTGCTCCGGCGCCTGGAGCACCTCTCTGCCTACTTCTTCACTGACATTGGCACCTGCAAGGCTATTACTCACTCCTCTCACTCTCCCAGCTGCTGTGTGGCGCAGCGTTTTTTTTCCCTGTCTTAAATATGCTCTCACAGAGGCGCAAAACAACATCGCTTATTGGCTCGGCTCTGGTCAGCAGTGGGGCCCTTACCAAACATGGGGCAGCTTCTAGATCCTTCTCACAGAAACCACCCCTATGTCCCCCTGCAACCAAAACCTTGCCACGTAAACCCGCTACAACTGGTGGCTAGCAAACGTAACGCTCATCTACAAGAAGGGCCAGCGGGTAGACCCAGCTTACTATAGGCCTGTCAGTTTGACCTCAATGCCAGGGAAGCTCATGGAGCAGATTGCTTTGAGTGTCATCACGCGGCACTTGCAGGGCAACCAGCCAATCAGGCCCAGTCAGCATGGGTTTATGTACGGCAGATCCTGCTTGACGAGCCTGATCTCCTTCTATGATAAAGTGGCATGCTGGGTGGATGAGGGAAAGGCTGTGGATGTTGTCTAACTTGACTTCAGTAAGGCTTTTGACACTGTCTTTTCCTCCCGAACCCTGAATCTTCTCTCTTCCACCTCCATTCTCAGTTGCTGTGGATAACATTATCATCCTACCTGTCAGTCATGCTCCTACCTAAGTATCATCTTCAGCTTGGTTTTCTCTTTCTCTCTGTGTCTTCACATTTGGGCAACAGCCAAATGTTGAAGAGGCATTCTGCACAACTCGTCTAAGATATGGCCTTGTATGTTCACCCACACAGAATAAACTCTCCTTAGTGATTCATCACTCATACCAAAATTGCAGCAGCCTTTATGCTACCCTTAAAGTACACAGGGTTAAATATTATACTACTGTTGCATCTCTCTGGCTATCTCACCCACCTCAGAATGGCACCTCAGAATTTCTTGTTCTTGTGAATTAATCCCTGAAAGGGGTAAAACTAATTTTACCTATGTGTTGTTTGTTTGTTTGTTTGTTTGTTTGTTGCACAGAAGCAGATAAGGTGAAGAGGAATTAAGAATGTAATTCATTTTATTTAGCTTTAACAGCCTGAAAATTTGCAATCTATTCTAAATGTTTTCCCACAAAGGAGGGAGGGGGAGAGAGAGAGGGAGAGAGAGAGGGGAGGAGAGAGAGAAAGAGATTTCTAGAGATTTGTGCATTCTAGAATATTTCCAGGGTAGGTACATTTTTAATAAATACAGAACTAAAAATACATTATCTTCTAAACCTTGTTACTCTTAATTGGAAAGAGAAACCTACTTTTTTTTTTTAATTCTGTTTTGTAGGTTTTCTTCAAATAGACAAAAAGGAATTATTTATTGCTTTCATATTTCTAAATAGCAGGAAAGAATTTCTAGCCTACTGGTGTAAGAACACTTACCATTTCATAATGCATTAAGGAAGGTGAATGAATCTGCGAGGACATAGACTGAGCTGAAAAATGCAGACCTGCTCGAGGAATTCAGCTTTGAAGTTTAGGTTGTTTGGATACCTGACTTTGATCTGAGGGTCATACTAATACCTGGGTTATATACCGAATTCTTTTTAATTAGAATTGGCTATG